CCGAGCCGTAGCCGCAGCCCCAGCCAGAGCCGGAGTCGCAGTCGCAGCCATAGCCGCAGCCACAGCCGCAGTCACAGTCACAGCCGCAGCCGTAGCCATAGTCAGAGCCACTCACCGTCGCCCCCAAGGGAGAAGCCGGCCAGGCCAGCAGCATCCCCTGCCGTGGGCGAGAAGCTGAAAAAGTATGCAAGGGGGGGCTGTGGGTTTGGGTTGGATCAAGGGGCTCCTGGACTCCTCCGCAAGGTGGCTGTGTCGGGCCCTGCCTCAGGGTCAGAGGCACTGTGGGTGGAGCTGCCCGAGGGGTCCGAGAGGGCCATGGTTACTCCCTGGGGCCATGGAGGGCAGTACAGAGGCTGTGGGGTCAGAGGTGACAACTGCCTTTTTCTCCTCCCACCCAGGACCGAACCTGCCGCTGGTAAAGAGACAGGAGCTGCCAAAGTCAGTAAGAATTTGGAACTCGCCCGTCTAATTCCCGCAGCAGCAGTGCCCAAGAGCTGGGCCTGGTGGGCCTGCAGGGGGGCCCGGGTGGGCTGGGATCCAGCCCAGGGATTGAGGTAGCAGGGGAGAGGAGGGACTGCCCTGTGAGTGTGTCCTCCCAGCCTCCTGCGTGCCTCTCAGAGCCTCACATCCTCCTCCCCTTCCCGCAAGTCCCAGGCTCTTGGCTGAGGTGTCCCGGGGGAGCTCTGGGACACCCACCTCCTCCTGTCTCTTCCCCCTCCCCAGCCCAAGCTGACGCCACAAGAGAGGCTAAAGCTGAGGATGCAGAAGGCGCTGAACAGGCAGTGTATGTCCCACCCCGTCCCCAGGCCCTCCTCTTGCCAGGGGTACTCTGGGGGCCATGCTGGGGCAGGGTAGGAAGCAGCACTCGGGCCCTCAGCCATGTGTCTCCTCCACAGTCAAGGCGGATAAGAAAGCGGCTCAGGAGAAGATGATACAGCAGGAACATGAGCGGCAGGTCAAGGAGGGAGGGGATGGGAGGGGACAGGACGGACCAAACAATCCCGCAGCTGCTGGCTGGGCCACACCTCATGGCTGTCTCTGCTGCAGGAGCGGGAAGACGAGCTTCGAGCCATGGCCCGCAAGATCCGGATGAAGTAAGGCTCCCTGCCACGCTGCTGTCTGTGGGAGTCCCAGCCTGCCCCCAGCCAAGCTTGTTGCCTGGCTGTCCTTGTGACACCCCCACTCGGGAGCCTTCCCTGACGGTTCTGTCCAGTGCAGCACCCCCAAACTCTGCCCTGCACCCTTCTGTGTTCTTTCTAGACCTGGCCTTCCACCTGGTTTGTGGAGTTTTGTCGTTGTTGACTCACTTAACTGTGTGTCTGCGCTAAAATGCTAGGTCTGGCAGCTGTGTCCTTGGGACCCGCGGTTTGGTAAATGTTTGTCGAGGGAATTTAAGCCAGGCTGGGACAGGGCCTTTTTCTTCTAGTTCCATCTGCCTTCTTTTTTCATTGCATGTTGAGTGGTGGTCAAGGGCTCGGAGTCTGGGTCACACAGACTTGGGGTTCAGTCCCACTGATCGTGTGGTCCTCTGAAAGTGGAACAGTCCTCAGTGCTCCTCATGGGCACTGGGGCTATGGGCAGTGCTGGGAGCCGTGGCACTGCGGGCCAGGAAGGGGTGAGGCGGGCAGGGCGTGTGTCTCAATGGGTTCTCGTTCCCGTTGCCCATCTGAGCGGGGCTCCTGCCTGTGTGCCACACAGTGATGGTGCCGGTGCTGCCTCTGCACGATTGGCTGTCAGGCTCAGCAGCGCCTGGCGTGTGGGAAGAAGGCCTGGTGCCCAGGCTACTCTGTCCCTGCTTTTGTCATTGTCTGTCACTCGCCTGCTGTGTTGTGGGGCTTCAGGGGATGTGTGTGTTGCCATCAGAAGGTGGAGAGTGGTTGGATCTGCCACTGTGGTCTTTTGTCCTGAGCCAGTTTGCCTGTCTGCTCACACGGTTCTTGAGAGGATTCGGCAGTCAAGGCCTGGCGCAGGGAAGACAGCCAGTGAAAGCTGCCATTGGGGTTGCCAGTCTAGCCTCCCGGTGCATGCAGGTCCCCAAGCTGTGACAGGAAGTGCTAGAACTGTCCAGTTCTCCCTCAGGTTTATTCTTGAGGCTTTGCTGGCAGCGCACACTGGACTCCTGTCCCGGCCCTGCCAGCCGGTGCCTGGGCTGGGGCCAACATCTGGGCCCCTTGATCCCTGCTCTTCTGGACTCGTGTCAGAGCGTGTTCTGGTTCCCGCAGGTGCTCACCCCTCCCCTGGTTGCCTCCCCTTTCCCCCTGCAGGGAGCGGGAACGCAGGGAGAAGGAGCGAGAGGAGTGGGAACGCCAGTACAGCCGCCAGAGCCGCTCACCCTCGCCTCGTTACAGTGAGTGTCCTGGGGTGTGGAGAGGTGGAGCCTGTGGATGCGGGAGGAGCACGGCAAGAGTGGGACCCTGTCTTGTGGGAAAAAGGCTCACCAAAAGCACAGTACGTTTTCAGCCTTAGCTTTCATAAATTAAGGCTTTTCAGTGCACGCACACACATGCACGCACCCACGCCTGCACACACACACAGTTGTTTCAGTTCAGAAGCTACAGGAGAATTGCTCATCCCCAGTACACTGTCCGTCTGTTGAGGGGACAGCAGACTCCAGAAGTGTTGCTGTCTCAAGGAGCCCGCTCAGGTCAGGAGCAGCCCTGGACAGTGGCTTTCGCTCACCTGTCTTTTCCTTTCCAGGTCGAGAATATAGCTCCTCCCGAAGGTGAGCAGCCAGTCTGGCTCCAGGGGACCCTGCTGCCTGCCTTCGTTTTGGGTGGGGGGTCCTAGCCCCACTCCCTGCATCCCCACCTAATCCTCCCTCTACCACCCTGCCCTGCCTCTGAAGCCCCAGTGGCCAGAGCGTGGCTCGGTGCTCATGGCCACTTTTCTCTCTGCAGGCGCTCGAGGTCCCGGTCTCGAAGCCCCCATTACCGACATTAGGCAGGGGCAGGGGCAGGGTGCTAGGCCCAAGCTGTGATGCTGGTTTCTCTAGTGAAATAAAGCAGATGTTATTTAATGCTCTTTATTTGGCCTCTGTCCTTTGTGTGGCTGGTGTGGCCCTCAAATCTCTGCCCACAGCTATGGGGGACTCAGGCTTACAGGCCAGGTGTCAGTGTCACCGCAGCCACCTCAGCCTGAACTACCATGGGTCACACACCCCGCCTAGAGCCTGGTGAGGCCTGCTCAGCAGGCAGGGGGCCTGATCCAGTGGGAAAGGGCTCAGACCTGCCCACACTTGTGGACAGGGTGGGCTGGGACTGTGCCCAGGGGCCTCTGGTGACAGGTCCAGGCCTCTCCCCGCCCTCGCCTGGCCCTTGCCCTGGCCTCGCCCACACTGAGAACCGGGAACTCGGCTTTCTGTGCCAGCCCTGCTGCGCCCCAGGCAATGGAGCTAGCCTTTCCCTTCACCTGCCACTCCAAACCGGTCTGTCCAGCGTCCACCTAAGGTGAAGCCTCCTGCCCCATCAACACCCCAGGAAAGCTAGAGTCCAGGCACGTGGGTAAATAGGGGAAAACATTTATTTGCACAAGGATGATGAGATCAACGCAACCACCGACCACTGTGAGGGACAGTCGCCTTGCACTCAGGCCACTTCGCCCATCTCGGGGTGCTTCTGCCGCAGGTGTTTGTCCAGGGTGGCTCGCAGGCCAAAGGGCACACAGCAGTGTGGGCACTTGAAACGGGTGCTGCCGGGCTCCAGGCCATGCATGCGGCGGTGGCGGTTGAGCTTGCTGCTCTGGGTGCAGGCGTAGGGACACTGGTCGCAGGCGTAGGGCCGCTCGCCCGTGTGTGAGCGCCGGTGGACAGTCAGGTTGCTGCTGTTGGCAAAGTGCTTCCCGCAAAACTCACAGCTGCCCCCGGGCCCACGGCTCTTCCCTGTCGCCTTGGGGATCTTTTTGGGTGAGGTCTTCTGGTTCTCTGAAGGGTCAGTTCTCTGTCCTTTGACCCCCACTCCCCAGCCACCCCCACCTGGGCCTGCCTGAGCCCCGCTGCCAGGAGCCCCAGGCTCCTGGATGCCCGCTGTGGCTGCAGCTCCAGCACCCTCACCACCACCACTGCAGGGGAGGGTGCTGGCTGGGGCGGCAGCATGGGCAGCTGGCTCTGGGGGTGCTGTGGAGACCTGCTCCTGGCTGGCATCGGCCGTGCAGGGGCTCTGGGGTGGCAGCTGCCGGTGGGTCTTCTTGTGGCGGTTGAGCTTGCTGCTCTGGGCGCAGGCGTAGGGACACTGGTCGCAGGCGTAGGGCCGCTCACCTGTATGCGAGCGCATGTGCACCTTGAGGTTGCTGAAGGAGCTGAGGGTCTTCTTGCACACCAGGCAGACGGGGCTCCGCCGGCTGGGGCCACTGAAGCGGGAGCTCTTGGCCTCAGCTGGTGGTCCCACAGCTGCCACAGCAGACACGGCTGCAGCCACCTCGGCCAGGCCCAGCAGCGGGGCCTCAGGGGCCTCTGACTCTGTCTGGTAGATGGACAGCCCGTGGTCCCACTGGGCGTGACGTAGCAGCTTCCAGGCCCCCATGAACTGTCTGCCACAGTGAAGGCAGCTCAACATCGCCAGCTCCTTGGGTTCTAGGGCCAAGAGGAAGGGGCAGGGTTAGTGCTGGGGGATAGGGGCTCTCAGTCCGGGCCTTTTGTGGGGGACAAGCTCTGCTCCAAAGGTGGGGGACAAAACACCATGCCCTCAGGAAACTTCCTGAAGTGAGGAGAATCAGCTGAGTACAAGGATTCTGGTATTTGCAAAGTAAAAATAAAAACCAAAATGCTATGTTAAGAGTGAGGGACAAGCCAGGTGTGGTGGCTCGCAGCTGTAGTCCTAGCACTTGGGAGGCTGAAGCAGGAAGGCTGCCACCAGCCTAAACTATATGGTGAGATCCAGCCTCAAAAAAAAGAGGAATGGAGAGGAGAGAGGTCAGAAAGTCCTTGCAGAAAGGGTGAGCACTTGCCTAGCACACATGAGGCTTTGGGTTGTAGTGTATCCCTAGCTCACCAGAACACAAATGTGACTAAATTCAAGGGGTGCTTCCTAGGTGCTAGGTACTGTGCCAGGCCTCTGCTCCAGCAGGATATGCAACAAGACCCCAAAGCACAGGCAGAGGCATTTCCCTGGCCACACAGCTTGGAGGCTGGCCGCAGATGTGCGGCTTCTATTCAGAAAAGGGGACCATGGTGCAGAGCAGTAGCTTTTAAAAATACTTCACCAGGTGTGGTGGTGCACATCTGTATGTAGTCCCAGCACTCGGGAGGCCAGGGCAGAAGGATCGCCAAAAATTCAAGGCCAGCCTGGGCTACAAAGTGAGACCCTGTCTCAAAAAGCATCCCCCCAAAAAACCACCTCTTAACTACTAGGTGGTTTTCTGTGTCAAGCCTGATGCTCAGGGATTCCACAATTGTTTCAATTTCCCCACTTTGCAAAAAAGGCTGAGGTCTGGGTGTGGGAGGGGCAGGATGGTGACCTAGGCCCTCTAGCCTCTGCAGGAATCCCAAGCAGAGAGGCCTGGGTTCCATTTGCCTTTAGATTTTTCAGATCCTAGCCAGTCTCCAATGGGATGGTCTTTGGGGACTGCAACACCACCCGCCCAAGATCAAGGTCAAGAGCACAGGCAGAGGCTGGGGAAGGTCAGCCTGGCCTGTAACAAACTCGGACCCCCTGCTCTCTGAGTGTGACCCTGGGTAAAAGTGACCTCTCAGCTTCAGTTACCTCAGCTGCTAGAGTCTGGGGGCCCCAGGGGGTCCCCTCCTTTCCAAGATAGTTGTGACCTCAAATAGGAAACAGCTGAGAGTTTGGGTCCACATAAGCCCTCAACAAGCCTGAACTGAGCTTACAGACCAAGCGGCCCACAGTTCCAAGCCCTGGAGTTGGAGCATTCCCTTCAGCAGTTCCATCAAGCCCAACCCTCACCACCTCAAACGAAATCGGATTCCATTACAGCCCCTCCCCTTTCCCACAGGCGGACCCTCCCTGGCTCAGCCCAGGAGCAATCCCACTTCCCAATCCCCAGAAGGTATGGGCTGGGGGCTGGAAATTTACAGGTCTGGATAAATCCCACAGCCACGGCTTAGAAAGATCACGCTGTGCACCCAGCACAGTTAAGGGTTTAAATCCGAAAGGGACCCCAGGTGTCCAGCACCCCAGACGGGCTCAAATCAGGGGCTTCCCAGCACCCAGGGCTGGGAGATTCCACCAAGGCAGCGGGCCAGGGCCCCTTCCCTGGCCCAGAAGTGGACCAGCACCTCAGTCAGTGTGATGAAGCGGTGGGAGGGGGTGGCAACCCCGGCTTCCAGCTGGCCTCTAGCCCCCTCCCCCACTCTGCCATCCTCCCGGGTCCCCCTCACTGCCCCCCTAGTCCAGCCACCTGGCCAGTTATTTCTGTCCAAGGGGAAGGAGAAGTGAAACCAGATTGGGGGGGGGCGTGAGGCAAATCCCTAGGCCAGTTTTCTGGGTCTGGCCACACCCTGCGGGCCACCTCCTTCGCGGCCCAGCCTCCGCCCCCGCCCCCTCCCCATCTCTAGTCCGGGCTCCGCGACTGGCAAGCCCTGGTCACGCCTAGGCTACAGCCGCAGGGGAGAAAGGGGAAGTAGTGTTCGGTGCCCTGCCTGTCCAGCTCAGCCCCCTCTGCCGCAGGAAGCCCAGCCCTTGAACTTGAGAAGGAGCCGGCCTGCGGCCTCACTCACCTGAGCCCTTGCAGGGGCCGGGGCCTCTGGAGGGCTGACAGCCCTGCTTCTTGTGGTCCATAAAGGCAGTGATGGCCTCCAGTGGGAAGGTCTGCAGGCAGCGGCCGCAGGTCAGCAGATCTGGGTGTTTGTCGGTCCAGAACTGGCGGTCTGCAGGGAGGAAGCGGCGGTGAGCGTGGGGTGGGGCCAGGTTGGGGGCTGGGGGTTTCGAGAAAGAGACGGAAACCGTAAGGTCAGAAGTGGGGAGGCTGGGGCCAGGACGGGAGAGGGACCTAAGGCAGGCTCTGGGGCCCATACCCAAGGGAGGGGATCCCACCTGAGGGTCCCGGGGAGGGGAAGCT